GGCAGAGCACAGCTGATGATAGCTGAGAGTGAGTGGGAGATATGATGGTGGATATCTGTCCTTCCATTATATCATCTAAACTTAACTGACTTATCATTGAGGAAGACCTGTTTATTGTTCCTGAATCTAAAAAATACAAATTTTAATACTACTACTACTAATAATAAGTACATGTATATATACATGTACATCAGAAACTGGAGATTTCTCTCTTAGTCATTTTATAGTAGACCCAATCTTTGAGCAACTTTAAAAACTTGTAAAAATCCAATTTTGATCGGAATCAGCTCAAACTTTCTACCCAAAATAAGTACGTGTACATGCATCAGAAAAAATTATAAAAATAAAGAAGCCTCTCCTTTTCATTAATTACCGGCTGATCCTCTCCTTTTCTTCTTTCCACTGCTTCCTCTTTTCTTCCTAACTACTACTGGCTCATCATCATTACTAGTCTTTATGCTTCCCATTCGAGTAATCAGCGGTAATGCATCACTAGGGGAGACACTGGACACCGGTAACGAGGTAGTGGGCGGAGACTTTACCACTGGCTGTTGGATGGAATCAGGTAATTGGTGGGCGGGGTTAGGCAATTGATGGGCGTGGCCTGGTAATTGCGGTAGACTGTGACCAATCGTATCATTAGTGGGTGTGTGAGTAGCTATGTCTTCAGGTAAAGATTGAGATAGTAGTCTATCAGTAGGAGGGGCTACTTCTTCGTTTAATGGTATTCGTTCTTCTGGAGGAGGTGTGGTTGAAGGGGGAGGGGCCACAGAGTCTCCGTTATCATCCTCCATATTAAATAAACTAGTGTCTTCCTTTACTTCAGCAGGTGGTTCAACTCCATTGCTTGTTGCTGGTTCGCATTTCTCTTTTTCATTCATCGATTCTACTTCCTGTGGTTTATCTTCATCATCCATCAACAGTTCCTGTACTTCATTTGGTAATGACTGCCCTGACTCCAACAAACACTTCTTTGCAGTTGTTAGTGTGTCCAGGGAAACTTGAGCTCGTAGTAAACTGTTGTATTGGACTAGAATCTGAAGAGGGAGAGAGAAAGGGGAAGATATCAATGTATTTTTTAGAGTCTTTTGTGATTGAAATCTCAATTTAGCAAACAAGGTGGTATACTAACAGATAAGGCGTGCATACAGGGAGAGACGAGTGTGTGTGTGTGTGTGGGGCACTGCTGATGTTCACAGATTGTAAGTTTCAATTAGACACAATACTATAAGGCAGACACAGAAACAAGTAATTATGAACAGCTGCTACTAATGACTATTGTCCCTCTCTCTCTCTCTCTTACTTCTTTTAGTAAAGTGGTATTTTTTAAATTGATTATTTTATTCATTAACTCGTTGAGTGAAAGGTAAGTGAGACATGTAACAGTTTGACAGCCACCGTGTAATAAATAAATCTAGAAAAAGGTTAATGACTATTAGTAACCATTAATATTACTTTATTTCCAGTAAAAACTATGTCGTCAATATCTTTAAACTCTACTGTCCATTCTTTCACATAGTATGACGAATCTTTGAAAACTTGAACAAGTAGGAAGTCCTTATGCCACGTTACTAAATAATGCTGATTAAGCAGACCAAGACGACAATAATTAAGAGAAGGGAGTGGCTTTGTAGGAGTGGCCAAAGGAAGAGAGTCGGAGTTAATATTAATGATGGATGAAGAAGATGCTGACACAGCAAAATCCAGTGGTTTCACAGTAGAGATGACATCACCATTGACATTAGCCTATTAATTAATTAAAAGAGGTGCGGCCAGCTCCACCCACTTACTGCCCATAGTCTCCCCTTGGGTCTTGCAGAGTACACTATAGGGGGCTGTCCCCCTCCTTCCTCTCCACTGGTACGTGGGTAAAAACAAGCACCATACAACCCATTCCTTATAATAATAAATAAATAAATAAATAAATAAATAAATAAACTACTAACCTGATTGCCTTCTTGCCAACTAATATAAGTGATTCAATACTTTCCCTATTACATATTAATAGTATAAATTACATGTATTAATGCCTACCCTTGTAATTTTAATAAAAAACAACGTTCCTTGCTTGACACTAACAACAGGTCATTATACATATCCTAATTAATCAATCAATCAATTAATTCATTTACTATTTATTGTACCAGCTGGAATATTGGAGCTTTCTCAAAACACAAAATTTCGTCGATTCTTTTGAACAACGAACTCCCAGCAAATTTACGAGTAAACTATAATGAATATAAAATGTGATAGGATCTCAACCTCTTAAACAAGCCCATTCTTACCCTCGGGACAAAAGCTATTACGATCCTTCCCTGATCGTCACCATAAAACAATCGAGTACCTCTCTTATCCCACACCATGTCTGTAACTGATGAGTCTTTTAATACGGAGGAAACATAAAACTTCTAAAAATGACAATAGAAATAGGAACAGTAATAATACAATGAAGCCTTTATGTAATGAACACTTTGGTACAAGGAGATTTGTATATTGTATACTGTAATTGGTATACTAGGTGCTGTCTGTTAAATGGAGGCGTGATAACATAGCTTACTTTAGCTTCAATGCTGCCGTTGAGAAGGTTATGCTCCCAGAAGCAAACATTATGACCTCCTGCCACAACAGCAAGTAGAGAATGATCAGGAGAGAACTTCATTAAAGATATACTGCCCTCCTAAAGAGAGAGAGGGGGAGGAAGAGGGTTCATGCAACAAGACTGAGTGGCCTTATCTTACTCTATTTGCTAAGAGTCGACCAGTGAATTGGTGATTGTCTCCATTAAAACAATAGACACCACCTGAATTAGCACCCAATGCGACATGAGTAGGAGATACAGCTATACATGTGAACTAAAAGAGGGAGAGAGTTTATAATAAAGGTGGGTGTGTCACAAACACAACTATTGCTCCAGTTGCTATATACCTTTATCCTAGCTGAGTTTGAAATGGGAGAGAAGAGAGGTGCCCCGTCTTGTACCTGGACCAATCCTCTCCATATGTCTTGCTCTTCGCCTTCTTTCTCTGGACTAGCCATCACATGATTCACTTCAGATAGCAGCCATTTTGAAACATGGGCGTGGTTTATCACAGCTTGAATATAAAAGCCTGTTGTGATGATTTTCACTTTACCTTTTGTTGCTTTGCTGCTCAGAAAGGATAGACAGCAATATGAGTCTTGGAGCAGCAGCAGTTATCTTTATTCTCTTTGTATCTGCGAATGCATTTACTGCAAGGAAGAAAGGTTTATTTTCAAAGTTTAATATCATATATTCGTGATTCTATACTGCAGCTCCTTTGTATGGCTCTCACCTGAACACAGCAGTTAATGGGCACTATATTGTTGTTTTCAATGAAGATACTCTGGACAGTGAAAGTATTGTTGCATATTAACATTAAATCAATTAACTATATGTGTATCTGGTATATAATAGTTAAAACTCACCATGAAGACCTCTCTTTGATGCTCAGTTATTTGAATAAAACTTCAGCTGGAACTGTTAGCAAATTTGAGATCGGATCATTTAAAGGTTATTCAGCATCACTTGAGGAAAAGTACGTACATATCCTCTCTCTTATTGGATTGCATTATGACCTCTCTCTTACATGTAGAGCTCTTGAACATGTACGTCAGTTAAAAGAAGTGAAGTACATTGAAGCTGATCAGGTAAGCACTCATTTTACTGTATCCGCATTTATTGTATGTGCAATACTGTTATAATGCATTTCTTGTATCCGTAACTAACTTCATTTATTGCATGACCACATTACTGCTTGCATTACTGCATTACTTGTATGACAGGTTGTAAAGACACTTGATTCTTGTACTGAACAGTCTGGAGCCACATGGGTAATGTGGTTATTATTATTACATTATTATCAGCCATCGTATTTTTGCAGGGATTGGTGCGTACTTGCTCACAGGACATGTCCTCATCTAGTTACTATTATAATCCAAACTGTAAGCATTATACCTTGTATGATCAATACCTTATATGGTCAATACCTTATATGATCAATACCTTATATGGTCACTACCTTATATGATCAATACCTTATATGGTCACTACCTTATATGGTCACTACCTTATATGATCAATACCTTATATGGTCAATACCTTATATGGTCACTACCTTATATGATCATGCAGCAATGTTTCCATTAATTTCATTCATTCATCATAGGTGCCGGAAGTGGAGTAGATGTATACATTATTGATACGTAAGTGATACACTATTTATTATTATTATGATTTATTATTATTGTATCCAGTGGTATCGAAGTGTATCATTCTGATTTTGATGGGCGCTCAGAGTGGGGCAGTGATTTTGTTGATTCTGGTAATTCTCCAGGTACCGATCTAAATGGACACGGGACCCATTGTGCTGGAACTGTAATGTCCAGTACTTGGGGATTAGCAAAGAAAGCAACTTCAGTTGCTGTGAGAGTCTTAGATGCTGATGGATCTGGATATGTGAGGTTAGGAACTTAGGACTTGCAATTAATGTCTTCTTTTGTTGCTCTTTTGTTGCTATTGTGTTTTTATTGTGTGTATGTACTCATACATAGTGGTGTTGTGTCTGGTATCAGCTGGGTTGCAGAGCAGCATCAAAGCAGAGGAAGAAAATCAGTTGCAAAGTAAGTAAAGATTTCAATTAACAGTCACTCTCTCTCCCTCCCCTCTCTTCTTTATTGCTATAGTTTGTCATTAGGAGGTGGTTACTCCAGTACTCTTAACGAAGCTGTAGATGCTGCAGTCTCAGCAGTTAGTGAATCACTATTATTGTTCTCTCCTTGTTTATTAATCTTTATAGGGTGTTCATATGGTGGTAGCAGCTGGCAATGAATTAACTGATGCATGTTATCGCTCGCCAGCATCAACACAATACGGGTATGTACAAGAACACATATACATGGATGTGACTTAATTCCTACTTCTTTCAGTATTACAGTAGCTGCTAGTGATAGTGCTAATGATTTTGCATATTTCAGTAACTATGGCACATGTGTTGACATCATTGCCCCTGTAAGCTATTCATTATTACTTTATGTTTCATTATGCTGGTATTATATACATGTTAGGGTGTGTATATATCATCTACATGGCTTAATGGAGGATCAGCTAGTCTCAGTGGTAAGACTATCATTGATTATGTTGTTGTTGTTTATTTTTTTGTTGTTTAGGTACTTCAATGGCAGCTCCTCACGTGGTATGCTTAAAAATAAATTAAATTATACTTTATACTTGTTCATTTCTCAAAGGCTGGTGTGGTTGCTAAGATTCTGTCCTGCACTGATTACTCACCATCTGAAATGAAGCAATATCTTCAAAAAATGTAAGACAAAGAGAGTGTGAAAGACAATAACCATGCATCATAGTTACTTTTTGTATTATTATTATTATTATTATTATTATTATTATACAGTGGTGCTTATAATGCTGTTGAAGGAGTTCCTTACAACACTCCAAATATTCTGCTCTACAAAGAATGCAGCAATTGAGAACAGTCTATATTGACAATTTTGATGTTATGTAATGTTTAATAATGCATTTCTTTATATTGTTGAGTTGTAATAAATGCAGAGTAATCAGTGCTGATTGCATGTAGATATCATGAATAATGTGAATATTAAGGAAACAATGAGAGTATTCATGGTAATGTATATACTTACTAATAAGAGGGAGGTCTAGCAGGAGTGGTATATGGTGTGATCTCTGTATAACATTACATAAGAAGTCTTTACTCTGCCTGCCCTTAGCTAGTGTCATTATACTGTGGACTCTGACTGATCCTATTGTTCATCAGTTTTTTGTACCTACTCCAAAATGAAGACATTCCTTGTCATTGCAGCTCTCATTGCTGTTGCTACAGCAGCTGTTTTCACAAAGAAAGGTCAGTGAACAATATGTATACATGTGCTTATGTATTCATCTCTTTCATGAACTTGATGTGCAGCTCCTCTCTATGGTGATGGAAATGGTGCTAAAGAGGGAGACTACATTGTAGTATTCCAAAAGAAACTTCCAGAAAGCGAAGGTGCATATATATATATTATACACACACATGCATAATAAACTGTTTTATGCTTATGCTTTTTAGACATGCTAATTAAATTACGCAGATGCATCCCTTACAACCACAACATGCATATACCCGTATTATATACAAGTAGAAATCCGTTCAGTCTATAATTTCAGTGTTATGCTGTAAAACATTATGACATGATATGCATGGTCTGCAAAAGTTAATGCAGAATAGCAAATATTGCTTGAGGTTACGTATAATACATGTCAGCAATTAATTACTATTTCATACTTTATGAATTACTTTGCACTTTACAAATAAGGTTAGGTATCAGATGAATAACCCTAATGTAATCACAGGCTATTGTGCACTTGTGTGGTCTCCTCATTGTGTCCATTATTGTCATGTATTCTCTTTCCTTCTCTCACTCTCTGCAGTCAAGAAACATCTTGAAAAAGTGGCTGTTTTTGGTAAGAGCGTAACAGTCAGACATCATTTCAGGCTCACTTCACTTGTTGCATATTCCGCCAACATTGATGATGAGTGAGTGAACTTTATACCTCTCATCTCCTTTCATTAATTCCCTTCTCTGTATTACTGTGTAGTGCACTGGAAGAGATCAGGATGATGCCTGAGGTCCGATATGTTGAAAGGAATGGAGTAAGTGCCATGCTACATTAATTTATTATAATGCAACTCTTTGTTTTTAATAGATACTCCATGCAACAGTGAGTTAACATACATTGCATGTACCATTAGCTATGAATAACAACAGGGAACTAAAGTTGAGAAAGCATGTGAGGAACAACCTGAAGTAACTTGGGTAAGACAATAATGATGAAATGCTGAGCTAAACACAATACTATATATAACGTACAGGGACTGGCTAGAATATCTAAGGAGGATGCTTATACTCCTAATGATCCTTACAGATATGAGAGTGATGGAAGTAAGCATCCAAACATAAAATACACATGTATATTATCGTTATTATCATATTTTAGTTGGTGAAGACGTCTATATTTACATCATTGACACGTAAGTACATTTGTACATTATTTATACTGACTTTATTTCTCACTTCAGTGGAACTCGTGTCGGTCATGTTGACTATGGAGGTCGTGCAGAATTAGGTGTTGATTGTTATACTAGTCTTGACTGCATACCTGCAACTGGATTTGATGCTAATGGTCATGGTACTCATGTTGGCAGTACTGCTGCTGGAACAACTTATGGTGTAGCCAAAAAAGCAACAATATATCCGGTTAAAGTATTGAGTGATGGAGGAAGTGGTTCGTATGAGTAAGTTGACTTGAGTTACAGTATGTATATACTAATACACATGAACACAATAGGCAAGTGGTTGCTGGTGTAGTATACACTACAAACGAGAAGAGAAGCAATCCTTCACGTAAAGTTGTTGCAAAGTAAGGTTTAACTGTGTCTGCAAGCTCCTTCATTATTATCCTGTAGTATGTCCTTAGGTGGTCCTGCTAGCCAACTTCTTGATGATGCAGTGAATGAGGCAGTAGATGAAGGTGTACACATGGTTGTTGCTGCTGGAAATGAATTCCAAGACGCTTGCCTCCGCTCACCAGCTAGAGCCAATGGAGTGTAAGTGTAAAATATTAATAATTAAAGATATATGAATACTGCACTCATGCAGGACTACTGTAGGAGCCACTGATATAGATGATCAAGCAGCTTACTTCACCAATTTTGGAGAATGTGTTGCAATCTTTGCTCCTGTAAGCTGTAGTAAAATAATGCATGCATATATACCTGACTGAGAGCATGGTTTCTAAAATGATGTCACACAATATCCTTTACAGGGTGTCAACATTATAGCAGCCAGTGGAGCCAGTGATACAGCAACTGCAACATATTCCGGAACATCCATGGCTTCACCTCATGTTGTAAGCAACAGTATGATAAATAATAACAATAATTATACATGCAATAATAATTAATATTTATATTGGCATAGGCTGGTGTTGTTGCATCAATCCTGAGCAGGTGTGACGATGTTCCCCCAGCAGACATGGAAGTGTTCATCAAGAGCATGTGAGATAATCTAAAAGAAGTTATTACTTAACTGTTCCTCCTATAATTAGAGCCTCAAAGGATAAAATAGGAGGTCTGCCCCCAGGTTATGAACATGATAACGAGTTGGCGTACATTGGATGTGAAACTGGATGTCCTACTGCCTCAAAGAAAAACTAACTATTACATGAACATTATTAGCTGCAGCTACAACATTATTCCTTTAGTAATGCACACACACACACACACATTGATGCTGCTGTACCTGCTACCCTTCCCCCTCCTTATTGCTATGAATATTGACCATTAAGGAATGGGTGTGGTTTTAAAAGGAGGTGTGGTTTTATTAATGAATGGAGGTGTGGCTTCAATTTGTAAGGATAGAATTTTGGCTAATTCTAAAAATAAAACACACCAACAACAACATCAACAAAAACAAAAACAATAATAATAATAACAATAATAATAATGATAATATGATATGATATGATATATAATGAGCGTTACTTCAAAGACGAACGTGGCCTCGTTGAGTTAAGCCCTCGAACCTTTTGAAGGTGAAGTTTTGAAATACCCAGTCCTTGGAATCGCTCTCGCTTTCCTCATGATCTGAAAAGAGAAGAAGGTTCATGTTGATCCACATCATTATAATTATACCTTTTTGATGCTCGAGCTCCTCAAAATCATCAAAATTTGACGTGTCGGCCATGTGCTTCACATGGACCGGTATAGAGGCCGGTCGGTCGCTATAGCAATAAACAAAAAATCCCACCCACAGAATATTAAACTCACCGGATGTGGTCCCAATCAGTTCCTCTAAAGAAAGGTTGTCGTTTTATTTCTTCCACATCTTGTCCCAGTCTGTGCTGTGAGTCGCAAAGTAAGCTAAAAAGGGCCGGCGAAGGAGAATGAAGTAACGGTGTATTACACAAAATATTTTGGGTATAGTGTAATAGCAGTTTTTAGCTCAGTATAGGCACAATACATTAGTGGTGTACCTTCTAATCAAGCTTTCAGCGTCTTTTGAAATCGTGGGGAGTTCCGGTGAAAATATTAAATGTTGTCGCCAATTCATAATCTTACGGTAAGTATCTAATTGATAATAATAATTAGGATAACAATATGATAATAAAATACCTTGAGGTTTTTCAGAACAGAAGGGAGGAAACCCTACAAAGAGATACAACATCACATGACTATCGCATGATTGTCACCACTGACCCATTAACATTTCGTACATGATGACCCCAAGAGACCAATAATCACACAAGTGGGTGTAACCAGTTTGCATGAAAACCTCAGGAGCTATATAGTCCGGAGTACCCACTGTAGAAAAAGCCTAATGAATAATTAATAAAGTAATTTATTAACAATTAAGAGGTTACTCTGTCTCTCCTAGTCTTTTTCCATGTCTGTGAGAAACGGCGAGAATCTTGAGGATCAGCTGGTAGAAGAAATGATGATAAAAGATAGTATGCTACACAAAGGACTTACAAAGATCAACGTTACTCAAGTCTCTGTAAAACTCAGTTCTGTGTGCAATCTTTAACCCAGTACACAAGCCAAAATCAGACAATTTGATGTGACCCTGTACAGATAATACATCAACCACACCCACCAATTAACCACACCTACTCACCCTACTATCCAGTAGGAGATTGTCTGGTTTTATGTCTCGATGAATGAAACTCATTTTATGTATGGAGTCTACAGCAAGAATAGACTCTGCTATGTAGAACCGAGTGACGTCCTCAGAGAGAATGTCTTTCTTCATCAGCAATGTCATCATATCACCTTGGAAACGATACATGTACATGTAAATTAGGACAGGAATTAAACTTTAAAGTGTTTTTGATGTGTTTTGGGGGGGGAATGGCTCTACTAATTTTGGCACAGGTATCACATTTCATTTTCAAGTTATTATTATCATCACTACCTCCTGGAAGAAACTCCATTATGAAGTAGAGGTTGATAGCATCTTGAAATGAATAGTACATCTTCACTACCCAGGGATTGTCAGCCTCTACAAGAATATCTCTCTCAGCACGAGCATGTGCTATCTGAGGGAGAGAGAGGGGGGAGGGAGAAAATATTTAATAAACAATGTTGAACACAACATGTGTGTGTGTGTGTTAAAAGAGAGGACTTCAAATATTCATGTTCTACCTGTTCTTTCTCGACCATGTCAGACTTTCTCAGCACTTTCATAGCATACACATGGCCGGTGTCAATCTTCTGTACCAGCACCACTTCACCAAACGCTCCTCGTCCTATTATCTTAAGACGTTTAAAGTCTTTCTTTCCGAGTCTTGAACGTCTGAGTCTTAGAAATTGGGTCTCTTTCTGAGCGTGCTGCTTCCTTCTCTCTTCCCTCTGAGAGAAATATAAATTATTAATTTGATTATTAATAAACTCTCACTTCTTCGTCCGCTAGCTCTAACTCTGACATTGATTGTTCTAATTTCTTCCATCTACAAAGAATGTAAATAGGAATAACAACATGAATAACATTACAAACCTGTTTGTTCTGTCCCTGTCTTGTATCAGCAAATTCTCATAAAAATTCTGTGTAGAGACTTTGGCCTTTCTGGCATTCTCCAATGACGTGGCAGAGAAAGGGAGTTGGGCTACTTCAGCAGTGGCCATTACGAAAGAAAGAGGGAGAAGAAGAGTTGATTCACTTGAATGGGATTGAGAGATACACGTAAGGTAGGCGGGGCGTATGATCAGGTGATGCCACGCCCACAACTTTCTTAATAACTAGATCCACCTTGATTTTAATACTTCTAATGCGCATGCGCAGGAGGTATGCCTTAAAATTCAAGGGGGAGGAGTTTGGTGGTAACTTTACCATTAAAAATCTAATAAACACAACACCACTTTTCTCACTTTCTCTTCTCTCACTCTAAAATGCAATGTACATTTTCTCTGTGTATTTAAGTTTTTCCAAATTAGGAAGACAAGCAAACTTGATCATAGGCGGTGGCCCACACATCAAGATCAATGTGTCTTTATTTGGTGGAGGCAAGTGACGAGATATCATTTCATCATTAATGAAACCAGTGCTGTACGGCCAACCTAACATAAGATAGTTGTAACACAATAATTATTATCATTATCATTATACCATCTGGTGATTTGTCTAACGTGTACCACAGTGTGAAGTTCTTGTGTTGCTTTGCAAGCCATTCCAGTTCAGAGCGTACAAGGATGTCATCTTGTGTTTGATTAGCAAAGAGGAGGGAGACTTTAGTCTTATCTTCAGGATCCTTTAGTATGGCCTTGATAATCTGCAGCATTGGCGTAATACCTATCATTATTATAAATTAATTTATTATTATTATTATTATTATCATCATTATTATTATTATTATCATTATTATTATTATTATCATCATTATTATTATTATTATCATTATTATTATTATTATCATCATTATTATTATTATTATCATTATTATTATTATTATACCAGTTCCTCCAGCAATTAGTCCTACGTTTTTAGCATAACAGAAATCATTAGTCTTGCGCACTTTGAAGTAACCTAATAGATTATAATTATACCAGTGACACACATGATGATATTGCATGAAAATATGATATGTCTACTATAAAAATACTATCACGGTAGTAATTATTGTATACATAATTCATTTTTAGGGAATATAGTCATAACTAATAGCCTTTCTTTGTTAAAAATAGGTTTTTAATGGTACCACAGTCTATAGTATAAAAACCTTATCATTTGTCATTTTAAAAGCACCAATCCATTCTTAATAAGTACATGTATGTCCTTACCTCTTCCAGCATAGGATACCTTTCCCTCTGGTCCCCTCACGTCAACGGTGTCACCTATTTCCAGCGAATCCAAATATTGCGACATCTTGCCCCCATCAGGAAAGCGTGGGTGAACCCCAGCCTTGTATACCTGGAGGACAAAGACCGTATTACCATGGGAACAAGGGGAACAACCTTAATAATGAGGTCAAAGTGTCCCAGTTCGTCATTAGAGGTGACAGGTGTATAAGGACGTACTACAAGCTCACCATTGATACGGGCACTGAGATACATGTGGTTACCTATTAGGTTATTATATAACTCAATGGATCATTTTAAAACCAGTTAGCAGCTGCATGATAATGTAGTACCATAGCTGGAATAAAGTGACTCTATGCTAAGGCTGAGAGGTGTCAGTTAAGTGATTTTTACACAATCTGATTGGCTGAATCAAAATAACAGAAGACTATATTATGCATAATGCAAACACTAAGTGTTCTTGGTTGAATGATTACTGTTGATCTTAAACACACGTACAACAATAATAATCCTGCTTATTCACCAGGGTATTTGTACACATTCACACGTCCTCTCTCCCCCTCTCAATCTCCCTCTCTTACCAATAGGGAGTCCTAGAACATGTTTATCTGACTGCAAAGCAAAACGGAACTTCCTTGTATCATGAGTGATTATCTGTTTGCTGATCAGTTTGAATGGAATCTTGTTCTCGGAGTCCAGAGCCACGGGGCCCTTGAGAGGAGCCTCTGGTGGTGGACCTGATCTAGTTGAAGACGACCCACTTAGAGTTTTATATATAATAAGAGCAAGACCAACAGCAATGGCACCTCCAATTATCTGAGAGAGAAAGAAAGGAAGGAAGAGGTGAGAATAGACTAAGGAGAGAAGGCATAACTTACAAGAATTTGAGTAGACGGGACCTCCATGATCGCTCCTTTGCTGTTAATGAGATAAAGGAGGCCAAACCCAATTGGCAGCATGCAACGCCCACGCTTGCAAATTGCAGCAATTTACTCACTTTGCAGTCCTGCACAATAGACTAACAGCAAGGAGACAGCCATTATCTCTTTAATTTAATTATAATTGAGAAAGATTTATAAAACAGAGACTACAAAAAGTATTCAAAATAGCTGATTTATATCGCCAGTGATATTAACAATCCTATCATTATACTTCTTTGATATTTCTTTTGAAACCTAAGACAAAGAAAACAAAACTGAATAATGATTAATCAACAACAAGTGTGCATGTACCATAATCTTTATTTTCTTAACATCTGCTACTAAGAGTGACAGAGATCCTTCACACTCTGTCTGGAGTTCACTTGCCTCCTTTATCTTGTATGTATACTCACTCACTAATGAACTGGCTCTCCGACTTAGCTCTTGCTGACGTATCAATTGAGAGGAAAGTCTATCCAGATAACTAAAAAAGGTTAAAATATAGTTCACGTAACATGCAGACTAGACTAGTTTAATCACTATAGTAAGGCAAATTAAGGATCTGTAGTTGGATGGAGCGGGGATGTATTGTGTGTGTCATGATGACAAATAAGGTTCTTTAACATAATTATGCCAAAAATTAAGTAAATATTCAACAGCTGCTCCAAGTATGCATATATCGCTGGATAAAATGGACCGAGTAATAATTACTATTGTGCCTATTCAAATGTTGTTGTTGCCAAACTGAAATATCAATCAAGGACACACCTTGACACAATTAAACCACATTTAGACTAAACTATACTACTCTATGTACTAACAGTAGTATATCATTTGTGTTGGCACATCCATACATGCATACTAGCTCCATAATCACTATATAACAGCCACTTCATGTCTGTTCTCAATACACTATATACTTGTACAAGTAGACCATACCTTTGTGACCCTAGCATCAGTAAGAGTTGTTGTGATTTCTTGTTGGTCAGTGAATCAATTACTGATGACACGTTACATGACATTTCCTCAATATCTTTACTAGAATAGCCTTGAACTGACGAGGGGAGGTCCACCTGAAGGACGAAACCTCCTCCTCCTCCTCCTTCTCCTCTTCCTACTGTTTCGTTGATCCTTTGCTTAGTGAATTCAAATAACTCCATTAAATCATCCAGCAGCATGTTACGTGTATTAAAATCCTCAAGTACAGTTGGATACTGTGAGACTGTACCTACTATTAAACAATAGATGAAATAACACATTACTACTATTACGATAACTATCATTTCCTACAGTAGTTATAACTGAAGCAATGTTATGACTATAAATCAATACACTTTCTATCTGTCCCTTACACGAGTTGCCTCCATCTTCAATAGTGATACCAGTTAGATCAACTTGTTCCAATGATATGTCATAATCAATGTCACCATCACCGAAATCAATGTCCCCACTAGGCTCTCCTCCTTCTCCTATCCCTCCCAGGTCCCCCCAGTCTATCTCTAACTCTCCATTGTTATCAGAAGGAGAAGACTCTGGCTCAGTCTTGACATTCTGTGTACAAAGAAATGAAATACAATTATAATGTACAGCAGTTAGAGTACACATGCATTGTTGAGTAAAGGCAATGGGCATCTTTTCAAAAATTGCACCGAGAGAATTCTCGATTTTATAATATTTTCTGATGCATATAAATATTTTAATGCTGTGTAGAAAGTTTGAACTTTTTCCAATCAAGTTTGAATTTTTTATGAATTTTTAAAGTTGCTCCAAGATTCATTTTACTTACAGGATCAGTAGATAAAGGAGGAGGGATTCCATTCTTCCATTCATAAACAGTGACATTGCCATTTTTAATAAAGAATGATAACAAACTCAACACTTGGGACTCACTACACAAAGAGACAGAGAACAACTTGAACAATATAAAAAACAATACTTATACACACAATATATAATGTATGGTATGTTACACAGTGTAAAAGTGAAAGAATTACATGTACATAACTGCATGTCACTCTAATAGATCTTATGTCAAATAATCATTGGCTATAGCAAGTAACCATCAATTACAACAACTACCTTAACACACATAATATGAATGTACCGGGTACATGTACATGAAATTGGTACAGCACCTTGAGACAGTGGACTCTCTGAATGTCTGATAATACTCAAGAGCTGATTGCACGTGAACTACAAGAGATTCAACTTGAGTGAACAGAACAGGTAGCTGAGTTGATAAAACTTGAGTGAGTTCACTGTGTACATCTTTACCCTAAAATAGAATAAATGATAAACTGTAGAGCCAAAACCAATTAAAGGCATTGCCACATTCTCATCAGAAACAGCATAACACGTACTGCAAACAAGGCAGGCCCTACTAAAGCATGTAATTAAAAGCATATAAGACTTTGGCACTGTACCTATACATACAACCATACTTAATAAGACCAAGTCTACATTATTTGTAGCCAAACTTTATTACAATGTTTGTCAAATAATTGCTTGATTGCAAACAATTAGTTAATATGTGACATGCTACAATAAAATAGGAATGTAATAGTAGAACACGCCTTGTTACCTCCGTCAAACACTCAACTAAAGAAGGAAGCAGATCTGAGAGTATATAAAGGAAGGGACAGAAGCAAAAAAATCATGTAATTATTCCTTTCTCTACAAGCAAAATGTCTTCAATGAGTCTACTATTGCTACTCCAGTTCATTGTACTAGCTGTTACTGTTAGTGCTCAGTTAGAAGTGTGTGGTACTAGAACCTGCTGTCCTGGTAAGATATGTGGCCTCAATAGCAAGGGGACAAAGGAGCGATGTACTTATGCTGAAACCTGCGACCAACTCGAGTGTCCAACTGGCTTCCAGTGTGTTGCTTCAGGCCGGCCTAAAACTCCAGGGAAGCGAAATAAAGTGAAGTGTCGCATTAGTTGTGATAACGTCACATGTCCTAGTTTCCTTGAATGCAAGACAAAAGGATCAGGACTATCATCATATGCTAAGTGTAAGTACCCACGTCGCTGTGATCCAACGACCTGCCCTTTAAACACAGCCTGTACTGGTAGGAGGAGATACGGTCTATGTACAGCTAACACATGTACCGGAGTGAACTGTGGTGAAGGAGCAAGTTGTGTCGAGGGAATAGCTAGAAGAGGACGAATTTATACTAAATTCCTTAGGATGGTTTTAGGACTAGGACGAGGTAAGAGATCACACTCCAGGAGGACACTAGCAACCTGTATAGCACGCTGCACCAACAGCACGTGCCCCACTGGGCTTGTATGCGAGGAAAGGAAGCATGAGATTCGCTGCAGGGCCCCACGTACTTGTGACGAGTTGACGTGTCCTGTCGGTCAGATCTGTCGTGTGTCAACATGTGGGAAGAAGAGACGGCATACTCACACCCACTCAAAATCAAAGAGTAAATCAATTGCACAGTGTGTCCCATTAGCACCTAGCCCTTCTTCTATAACAGAAATGAGCTCATCATCATCTGATGTGACTATATCTAGCACTGAGGTGATCAGCATGATGATATCAAGCAGCAGTACACAGGAGGAAACTCCTCAATCTTCAAGTGTTCCAACTATATCACCAACACCCACTAATGAAAATCAGCTAGCTTAAGGGGCTCACCAGGGCCTTGAAACAGCTGTCCTTTTATTCATTAGAGAAATGACTGAACTCAATGTGACTGCTATGTGTTACATGTATTTGTTATTGTTATAATAAAAATTCATATATTAAAGTATTGACAACAAGAACATGCGGCATGACGATACAAACAATCTACGCCTACAACTTCTTGTGCTAAATTAATAACAATAATAGAAGCCAAAAGTTATAGAGCATATACATAGTCATCAATAAGGAAAATGAACAAAAACAAAGTACATAATATCTCACATACCTCAATCCCAAATTCTTGGCACTGCTCCTCAAACTTGATCTTCAAGGAACGAGCATTGGTCTGACTGTCATTAGCTTTACGTGTTGACTCCTGAAGAATGAAGGGGCACAGCAAAGGAAAGAGAGGGGAAAAGAAAATTAACTTTTTGTTGCTGCTGGTAGCGTGCTATTTGTCTCTTTAGTGATGCAACTTCATAATTAACCAAACGACTCATGACTTGTGCTCCCTCAGCTGTACAAATAAAAATATATTATTTATTATTCTCTCCTTAGTAAGTTCGTACCTAAATGAAGATTCTTTCTTTCATAAGATCTTAAAATGTCATCCCATTCCTAAAAAAATTTTTCATTAAATTAATGTCTTCTATTTCTATTAATTATACCTTTAATGATTGAGAAGTATACTGTCCTAAGAAATTCTTTTCCTGTGATTCA